CTCCCACAATGTTAGCTTTGATCTCGTAGCTGCATGTTGCAAAAAACATTTTGAATAATCCATAGAGCAAGTTTCATACAGTGGTAAAGCATCAGGCTAGACATCCTGGAGATTGTGAGTTCTAGTGTCTCCTTAGAGCACAAGCTAACTTTTGTGACCTTGAACAGACAAGAGCAAACTGCTTTGAAAAGCCTTGACAAGGAAACTGCAGAAATTTGTCCAGGCCATCACCAAAAGTCAACATTTATTTGATGGTGCACAGAGACAGACACAAACAAATAAATAACTCATCCAGCAGATGAGACCACTAAAAAAGAACGTCTCTGCTTATGTCTCAGCTGTATGAATAGTCTACACTTGTGTGCACTGACCCCACATTTTGTTTTGTTTTGTTTTGTTGGAGAAACTAACTCTTTAAATAGTTATAAGTGAAAATCCCACAGAATTTAGTTGGACTTATTTCCAGATAAGCATTCACAGAACTTAGCTTCAAAAGCTCACTGCTTATTGGAGGTGGACGGACTGCCTCTATTTTAAACAAATGATTTAAGTTTCCACTGTAGTCTCTGAATGTGACAAAATTTATGAAAGGTTTCCTAGACATCAAAAACTTGGTGTATGGGGGGTTGTGGAAGGAGAGGAATCAACAGAGATTTAGGAAAAGCTGCCTTCTCAAATTATTTCAGCTTTCAAAAACAGTTTAGCACAGAGATACTCAACAATGCAAACAAATAGTTTAAATAGTTTATTTATTTGAATCAGCTTTGTGGCTTAGAATACATTCTCACATTCTTCTAACTAGTGGCCTGCTGTAGGAGCACCTCTTCACCTCTCGTAACTTATGGTTATTTTGGCCTAAGTTGCAGGATAGGGGAGACACTAAGGAGAAATTTTCTGAGAGTGAGAACAATTCACAAGTGGAAGGGCTTGCCTTCAGAAGTTGTAGGTGCTCAATCACTGGAGGCTTTTAAGAAGAAGCTGGACAGCCACTTGTCTGGAATAATATAGAATGGGGGGGGGGGGCGGTAGGTGTTGGATTAGAAGACGTCTAAGGTCCCTGCCAACTCTGTTATTCTGTTCTGTTCTTATACACCTGACTTCTACTGGGAGCCCAGCCATATAATGCCTGATTGGTAAAAGCATTCCTCAAGCATTATGTGGGTTTACAGCTTTTTTGAACAAGTGTTACTCTCTCCTACACCATTTTCATTGTTTTATGTGGTATTTCTCGGTGCTGGACACAAGACAATCCTTGTCAAAAGCACTGTTATTCCTTTGCAAAGCTTGTCAATTCTGCTCTTCTGAACCTGTCCTCTGTACCTGTAACCTGTCAGTGGTCGGAGCTGCTGTCTTTCTATAAATCTTGGTGTGGGTGGGTGTGGAGTGCTGGCTTTGTTGCTGTAAGTGGGTTGATTGGCTGTGTAGTTGCATCCTGATTGGTAGATGGAGTTGATGTTTGTAGATTGGTTGGCTGTTTTGTATCATCCTGTGTGGCTGAGGTGCTGGCTGTGTCCGTTGTTCCCCACCCCACCCACCACCCAGATCGTTACAATACAAAAGAATAATGGACACACATATATATATGCTGGTCTTGTTGTATTCGGGTCTTTTCCTGTGTAAGATTGAGGTTGTCTTGGCAATGTTTCGATGAGGTCTCACTTGCCATCTTCAGGCTGGTGTTTTCAGCTTAAAGTGTGGTTGGAGCTGCTGTCTTTCTATAAATCTTGGTGTGGGGGGGTGTAGAGTGCTGGCTTTGTTTCAATAAGTGGATTGATTGGCTGTGTGGTTGTATCATGATTGGTAGATTGGTGCTGGCTGTGTGTCCGTTGTTGTTTTATGTTGTAATGGCCTGGGTGGTGGGTGGGGCTCGTTTGTTGACTAGGGCTGGTTTCCAGATGTCGGGAGGTATCGTCACATTTATTTATGTTGTGGGAGTGATTCTCTATTTCAATAGCTTCTATAATTATTCTCCTGTTGAAGTGTTCAGTTTTGGAGATTAATTTGGTTCCTTCAAAATTAATTTCATGTCCTGTAGTTTTAAGGTGCTGGAAAAGGGAGGAAGTTTTTTCTTTTTTTCTTACTGCATTCTTGTGTTTTGCGATGCGTGCATTTATTCTCCTGTTCGTTTGTCCTATGTTTGTTGCAGGGCAGATTTTGCATGGTATTTTGTAGACTCCTTGGTTTTCTAGCTGGATTTTGTCTTTGGGGTTTCTTAAGATGTTGGCTATTTTTTGGTCAGTGTTGAATGCTGTCTTGATATTGTGTTTGTGGATAATTTTGCTGATTTTATCTGTGGTGCTTTTGATGTAGGGGAGGAGGGTGATGCCGTTGTCCTGTTCTGTGTCTTGGTTCTTGGTGGGAGTCTCCCTTTGGATTAGTTTGGTAATTGTTTTTCTTTGGAACATTTGTGAGAGTGTGTATTTCAGTTTTCAGGTGGTCTTTGTCAGCTAGGCGTTTGGTTCTGGAAATGAGGGTCTTGGCTACAGAGTTGATCTGTGCAGGGTGGTGATGGGATTGTGCATTTAAGTAGCAGTTGGTGTATGTTTTTTTTTCTGGTAGATGGTCTGTCCTAGGGAGCCATTGGGTTTTTTGTAGATTTGGAGGTCCAGAAAGGGAACTTGGTTGTTTGCTTTTATTTCCATAATGAATTGTATTTTGGGGTGTAGGCTGTTGAGATGTGTGAGGAAGTTGTCCAGTTTTTCTTTCCCATGTGGCCAAATCACGAAAGTGTCATCAACATATCTAAGCCAGAGTTTGGGTTTGGGTTCAGATTCATCTAAGGCATTAGTTTCAAAATGTTCCATGTATAAGTTTTCAATGATGGGTGAGAGGGGTGATCCCATGGGTGCTCCTTCTATCTGTTTGTATCTTTGTCCATTATGGATGAAGTATGTGTTGGTTAGGCAGTGGTTGGTCAGGTCCAGGATGTGTTTAGGGGGGTTGTGTTTGTTCTGGATAACTGTCAAGGCTTCTTTTACAGGCACTTGGGTGAAAAGGGATATGATATCGAAGCCCACGAGTAGGTCGCTGGGTTGTAGGTTTTGTTTCTTTATTGTTTCTATGAAGTGGAGTGAGTTTTGTATGTGTGAAGTGATGGATTCTGCATAGGGTTGGAGTTGTTTGGCGAGGAATTTGGCAAGATTCTGTAGAGGTGTGCCTAGACAATCTCAATCTTACACGGGAAACGACCCGAAAACAACAAGACCAGCATACCTACACCCGTGAAAATCTACGAACACACACACACACACACACACACACACACACCTGACTTTATAGTCACCAGCTATTTTTGAGCTAGCAATTTAAAAGGTGGATAAACCCACTTGTCTGTACTTGACCTATCCCACCACACGAAGTAGCAGAATTCGTCAATGATCTTCTTTAACTTGTTTGACAGCAAAACTATGAAATAGCACCTCTTACTAGCTTAGTCACTGAAGCAGAATAAGGCTTGGTATTAGGGGTGATTACAGTATATACTTTTCTGCTGAGTCAGAGATTAGAGGAATGCACATTAATAGGACTGTGAAGAACTCTTAGTCATATGTGTGAATCTGCAAGCCATTATTTTTGCAGTCAACTATTATTAAGTAGCCTATTGTCTAATACAGTTGGGAATCTATCCATAGTCTCTTGTGCGATAAAAAAAATGGTGACAGACATCTAGGTGAACTCATTGGCATGATGTATGATCACAAAATAGTTGTCCACAGCAATGTTCTGATCATATGCCAGCTGTGCTTTATTTAATCATGGCTTCCTGAAAAAAATTACAATTTGCTGATTTTGCATTACATGTGAATGGTATAAAAAGCTAACCTGCACATAAGAAACTATATTATAGCATGGCATCTTATTTAAATCTAGCTTCTGCATATGTCTTTGTTTTCATTTTTTCTTTTTTCAATTGAATCATTATGCATCAAACCCTCTGCTTCCAAAAATTAAATACTTTCATATTCAGCAAGATTTTACATATGAGGGTAATCTTTTATTAAGTCTTTTATTTAAAAAATAGCAATATCATATTTAATGAATTGCTTTATACTAAGTACAATCCTGAAGATAAAAATTGTTGGGATTCTAAAATGTACTTTTTAATGTAATTATTAAAGAACCTGTCCTTCCTTCAGTCAATGGCAATCTAATTCACTCTCCAATTTTTGTATTGTAAAGCCTTTGCAATGCAAACAGAAAACAGTAAGTACTGCAGATGGAAGCAACACACCAAACAAGAAGCAACAATCTACCCTAAACTAAAATTCTCACTTATTTTATATTCTGGATGAGTTTACACAACGGTCTTAACCTACGGCACTTTCAAGCCATTAAGTTTATTATGAAACAAGCTTATATGGCCTCAGCGTTTATAATTTATAACAATTTTTTAAAACCCATATGCACTCACAAGTCAATAATAAAAAAACAAATATAATTGGGTAAAATATAATCAAAATCATTATTCCTAATAAAAAGGGCTAATTGAATAAGAGGGTCTTGATTCCCTTCCCAAAGATAGCAAAAGAATCCTATGTAGATATTGGGGAAAATATTTCAAGGATAAGCAATGGGAAAACGTCTGAAGACTGAGAAAAGCAGCGGGGCAGCAATAACTGAACGACAGAGTGCCAAAGAAACTCTAGACTAAATGAGAATATTATTAAAATATTTGAATCATTCTTGGTCGTTCGTGCTCATGGGATGTACAAAACAAGTACAGTTTTTTTAAAGATCTGCCAGCTGTGATTTTTGTTGTTTGTTTGTATTGGTAAACTCGGATAGTCGACGAGAGTCGGAAACCATATTAATCCCATTACATAGTAGTGCATGCATCCAAACAAAGTCTTTTTTTGAGCCACACGTTTCACTTTTTACAGAAATCTATAGGCGTGTACCGCAAAATCTAGCCTGCTATTCCAGGCTGCTTTGCCAATGGCTGAAGCAGAATAGTAGGTGGAGCCACGTCGGTTTGAGAGACACGTGTACAAAGGAACCAGGAAGTGACTGCCGGAATTGGAGTAACCGCTGTATTTTGCAACGTCTGGGTGATCTTATTGAGTGTATGTAGTGAATTATTATTTTTAAATAGAATAGGTTATTAATTTTAAAAAAATCCAGGAGGATACATTGAAAACAAACACCCAGGAAGGCAAAATTCTTGCGGTATGTTTTAGGAGGTTTTATCTTAAAGAACCAAACAAACCCGGGTTAGTACTGGGGGGGATGATCTAACTATTTTTACTTGTCAAGTTTGTATCTTCGATTTTTTTACAGATTGATTATTTTAAAAATGGACCGCAAATAGTTTAAAAATATATATATTTTACATTGTGGCAAACCGACCGACCTACTCATTCATTTTGGTGCCTTTCACGTTTTAGGTGGGCTATTCAAAGCTTTGCTTTGAATGAAAATGGCCATACAGACGGATTAGATCAAGTGTGATTAAAATAGAAGAAATTGTAATAGTTTGCAAAGGTTAAATTGGCGACGATAATATTATTATGGAACTTCATATAGACTGATTAAGTTACAGTAACCTGGAGTTGTGCCTCCCCTTCCCCAGGGTTGCAAGTTCTCAGATAAAAATCTAAGCAGACATCGACGGTAGGAGAAAGTTCTATGACTATTTATTTTTCCTCTCCATTGTAGCGATTCCCTTGTGTAATAACTTCCTTGATGAGAACAATGCTTCACTTGAAAGGCAAAATTAGCGCAAGTCAAAAACACAACCCAAAGATTAGGAATTCACCTGATGTGCCTTTCAAACAGTGATTTGTGGTTTAATATAAACCAGGCATCTATGCTTGTTCATTTAATATTATTAAAACAGCTCATAGTTTATAGTGTAATGTGTAAATTCAGCTGGAAGTAAATCTCTCGGTTCATGAAGGACTCACATGCTTAGAAAGGATCACAACACCATTCCAATTTTATGAGGGATTGAAGGATGGTAGAAATTCTTCAAGGACCCTCCTCAAATGGATTAATAGCTAAACTGTCTTACTCCTTATGATATCTCCTATATTGCCCGTAATCCTCCCTTACAAGAATGGGTAATCTTTTGGGATGGAAATATTTGAAACTTTGAAGGCATGTGGTTATTGTTTTCTTCAAATGGCTGCCATGAGAGGTCTCTTAAAGAGCCATGGTGGTGCAATGGTTAGGAGAATGCAGAATTGCAAGCAAATTCTGCTGACTGCCAACTGCCGGCAGTTTGATTCTGACCAGCTCAAGATTAACTCAGCCTTCTCTCCTTCTGAGGTGGGACCCAAATTGTTTGGGCCAATATGCTGACTCTGTAAACTGCTTAGGGAGGGCTGTAAAGGCAGCATGAAATGGTATATAAGTCTAAGTGCTATTAATCTTTTCACTAAATGGCTCCTAATGGTAGGTGTGGCCAATCATAAAATAGTAATTTACCAGAAGGCAAACAGATAATGTTGGTTCCCCCCCCCCCTTTAGTTTACCTGGGAGTCCCCCCCCCACCTTCCTGGACAAGCAGACACACTTCTATTGGAAACATCATTCTTCCTATTTTTATTTTCTAAAAGTATCTACAAAGCCAAAGTGGGTCCAGAACCATCTTTTAAATAAGGATGATTCTGAGGGATAATTGTTTGCTCTATATTTAATTACAAGTATCTAATAATATATGAATAAGCAGGCACTTTATGCAGATATGGTGATGATAGGTAGCATTTTGCCAGTTTCAGGCACACTTGAGGAGACACAAATCAAATAACTTTCTAACTATTGACTAATAGACAAATAAAATGTATTTCCGAAACAGAATAATTGATTTTGATTGGCTCAGATTTTAAGTTTTCTACCTAATTTTCCTTTCATGTTTACCAGATCTTCAAATCCAGAATTCCTCATTATGATACTTGGTTACAATCCAGTGTTGCAAGCACTACTAGGAACTTTACTGACTTGGGGATTGACAGCTGCTGGCTCCGCATTTGTATTTATATTTTCCAGTAGGCAGGTGAGGCCTGAACATTTTTGGTACAAATTTCAAAATTAGAGGATGAAAAATGCATTTTCAGCATTAGATATGATAAAATTGTGAATGTGGAGTATAAGTATGGATCAGATAATCACCATAAATACTAATTATGGCATGTGGGAGTTATGTGATAGAGCTGGAAAAAGTAATGAGCTTAGTATTAAATTTTTATATCTTTAATTAATACTCTGCAAACATTTAGCTGAGATTGGCTAGAAATGCTTGTCTCTAGCTTTTGCATTTTTAGAAGAATAAACCAAATTGCTACAGCAGATAAATAGGTCTTTTGATATCATAAATTTGAAAGATTTATTATTACCTGGGTTATATTAGAAGAGATCCTTCTAAAACTCTTTGAAAGTCATATTTATGATATCCAAAACTATATTTATCAACTGTAGCAATTAGATTTTATTTTAAAATTGTAAATAACATAGCTATTGTGATTACCTTTAACCCATGTCCTGACATCTGGAACTAACTTGGGAAGGTTTCAGGAATATGCAGTTGTTGCAAAAGGCAGTTGGCTACGTTCCTACCAATGAAAGTGGTATGCTAAAATTGAAGGAGAAATTCCCTTTTTTTGTGCTTCTTCTGTAAGCCTGAATTTTGGTGGACAGAAGAATTAACCAGTATATGTTTACAGCAGCTTTCCCAGTTTCATGCCTTTCAGATATGCTGCTATTACAGCTCTCAGCATTCTTAACCTGCATGGTGGTACTAGATGAATATTTTATGAATTGCAGAGGATATCAAAATGGGGAAAAATGACACATTTTGAAGTGTGATGTCTTTATTAAATATGGACTAGATTTTTAACTCTGTATTGAGTATCATCTTAGTTTTACAAGAGACTAACATACACTTACCCGTATTTTTCGGAGTATAAGACGCACCAAGATTTTGAAGAGGCAAATAAAAAAAAAGTTTTTTCAAAAACGGACTGTTTTTTGAAAAAACCACCCCCTTTTTTTCTCAAAAAAAAAAAGGGGGGGGGCATGAATAGCCTTTAGGAGGCTTGTAGAGTGCTCCTGGAGGTTGGGGGTAGGGGCAAAAATAAGCAAAGAACGGCCTGTTTTTCACTCATTTCTGCCCTCCCCAGCCCCCAGAAGCATTCTGCAAGGCACCTAAGGGCTATGCACGGCCATTTTGGTGAAGGGGCAGGGTTTCGGGAGGCAAAAATGCTGTATTCAGTGTATAAGACACATCCAGATTTTCAGTCTCTTTTTTGAGGGAAAAAGGTACATCTTATACTCAGAAAAATATGATAGTGTGTTTTGTGTGTTAGGGTAAGCTATAGTGGATTTTTTTTTGCTTTTCAATGCAGCTGTTGTCTGCAAGCTATGTCTTACGGCTTTGCATGTTGCACGAAGCCAGCAAATTAACATTTACATAAACTATGATTCAACGTCAAATGTGAAATTATATGTTGCTGCTGCTGCATACAGTATCATTCTGACGACTTGTAATCTTACATTTGCAGAGACGAATCCTGGATGGGAGTCTAGGCTTTGCTGCTGGGGTATGTAATAACTTGATTTAATTTATAAATTTCTTAAGTTTACTTTGACTTATCTGACCTCCTCATTGTCGATGGTATTTGATCTGTTGGCATTAGGACTTCTAGCTGAAGTTCCATGAATAATCACCTGTTCTGTTTAGAATTGGTGGTACCATGTTGCTTATCAACACTCTTTTTCCCCTGCCCCCATAATTGAATAGAGCCAAAGGTTAGGCCCTGCTTGCATTTGTTGGTTGTCAGAAGGCTAAAGGGCAAATGGGTGTTTATAGCTTACAAATAACACACATTTAATTCCTTCAAACTCTTGAAATTGCCTCTTCCCAAAAGGCTCGGGTCCTCCTCCCTCTTGTTATGGGTTCTTTTATATGCTGTCAGACTTGTGAGGTAGTCCAGAAATGAAGCCCACCCATATGAACTAATTCTACTTTGTTGTATTGTTAATAGAATTTTGTAAGTCTGAAAGTACATTTCTCCCCTCTCCCCTCTAAAGCCCAAGAAATTAAAGAGGTTCTCTTCTGAGAAAAGGAACGCGGTGGCTCAGTGGCTAAGACGCTGAGCTTGTCGATCAGAAAGGTCACCAATTTGGCGGTTCGAATCCCTAGTGCCACGTAATGGAGTGAGCTCCCGTTACTTGTCCCAGCTTCTGTCAACCTAGCAGTTTGAAAGCATGTAAAAATGCAAGTAGGAAAATAGGAACCACATTTGGTGGGAAGGTAACAGTGTTCCGTGCGTCTTTGGCATTTAGTAATGCCGGCCACATGACCATGGAGATGTCTTTGGACAGCACAGGCTCTTTGGCTTTGAAAAGGAGATGAGCACTGCCCCCTAGAGTCGGAACTAGCACATATGTGTGAGGGGAACCTTTACTTTTACTTTCTGAGATGTTTGCCATGCCCACATACCTGCTGTGAGTTGTGATCTTTTATCCAACTGTTCCCCTGTTGTGGCTCTCTCCCTTATCTCCTAAGGTGATTCCCACATACCATTATACCTGCCACCCAAAACCCAGCATTGCCTATTAGCCAACTTTAATCCTTGCCCTGGAAACAGATGGGATATGTCAGCATCCAGATGCTGTGGATACCAGGAAAATGCTACTTGTAATATGGAAATGATTTCTGAGATAAAAGGAATAATTTCCATATTATTTGCGTTTTTATTATATCTCTGTGGCATTTTCAAGAATCGGGTTTAATTTTTAATCTCCATATACATTATCAAAGTCACCAGTTAATATTCCATATGATGTAGCATTTTGGGCCATTTTGGAGATGGAACGGGGGTGGGGTGAAATTTTTCAATTTTTTTAAAAAAAGAGAAAAAATTTACAGGGAAAAATGGAAAAACGTGACAGTTCTCTTATTAAATGTAAATTTTATGTTCTGGTTTATAACAAGAATATATAATTGAAGCAGAACATAACAAGATCAGGGAATCTGCAATTCAAAACGGAATGTTGCATCTCTTTTTTTCTAGATTTATGAAATGTAGGACTAAATGTTCTATATTTTATTAAGTGATATTTGTATATATATAGACAATTCCCAAAATGGAACTGCAGGGTGCTGCGTCTTGAGATATTTCATTTTGTAACATGGGAAAGAAAGGAATAAAATATTAGTGGGCAGAAGGGGGAATGACGCTGTTAACAACTATAATCATGTTTCTACAGTAGATTTAGATGTATGCTGTTGGGTGACAGGTACATGTCACAGTTTTTATGGACTAATGAGTTATTTTGTTTATCTAAAATTTATATCTCACACTTATACTTAATATTTATTATCCCATAGATATATCTTTAGAGCTATAAAAATACACATGGGACTTGGAAGCAAGTATTTCATGTTAATTCCTTAACTGTATAGGTGCATTTGCAAATTGGTCATTATTTACCAGCAGCATTTGTAATACACTTCAGTCCCAAAGGGCTTTGGCGAGCACAAAATATCTTAAAGTTAAAAAAAAAATCAAAAACACCCTCTCTCTAATTCAGACAAGTTGAGTAGTAAAAACTGTGTTCATTACTCTTTGGGCAATAAGAAATTGGCTGTGCTAGATGTAAGAGAATGCTTGAAATCTGTGCTAAGACAATATTAGGGCTACTCGGTGATCACAAAAAAATAATAATAGAGAATGTTTGGAATTCCAGATAAGTGTTACAAAAATGGAAGTGTGTGTTTGTGGGGGGAGACGAAGAGAGAATGGTGTGATCAGAAAATCCTGACATCTGTAGAGTTGTCTCAAGAGAAAATAATGGAGGATGATATGGATATTCACATTTGACTGCACCTCCTGTAATAATTGGAGGTAGAACTGGACTCATAGCATGAAGAAAAAAAGCCCTTGCGAGATGAATGTAATTGTCATCAGTGTGTAGGAAACTGATTATCTACAGTTTTATTCATTAAAAAAATAGAAAATGTTCTGTGAAACCCCACTTTGTGTCAAAAATGATAGTTGGGCATGTTTGACGCATTTAAATTGTGTTGCTTAATGTATTTGAAAATACAAGGAATGTTGCCAAGCTGCCAGTTCAGGTTATTGTTTGGGAAATATATTAATTTCTCATCCAAGATTTTTCAGCCAATACTTTAATGCCACCAAAATGCTCTGTAAACAACTAGGTAGAGCCGGCTGTAGTGCAGAAGTTGACCATCTGGGAGTGAGTCAACAAAACGTATTTCCAGGCTGTTCTCTTTATTCTGTTTTTATTCTTTCTTCTTGAAATGTGTGTCTGTCTTCAAGCATATTCCAGCAACAAGAAAGTACAGGTGGTCCTCAGCTTACAGCCACAATTAAGCCCATTATTAAGTGAGACAGTTAAGTGAATTTTGTCCCATTTTACAATCTTTCTTGGCATAGTTGTTAAATGAATCACTATAGTTGTTAAGTGAATCTGGCTTCTACATTGACTTCTCAGAAGGTTGCAAAAGGTGAGCACATGACCCAGGGATACTGCAACCGTCATAAATATGAGTCAGTTGCCAACCATCTGAATGTTGATCACATGACCAAGGGAATGCTGCAATGGTTGCAAGTCACTTTTTTCAATGCTGTTATAACTTCAGGCACTAAATAAACCATTGTAAGTCAAGGACTACCTGTATTGTGATTCTAAGTATTGCAAAAGAAAATGCTATTAAAAGCAAGAAACTAAATATATAACTAACATAAAAAATGAACAACAAAATTAGAATCTGGTTGCTATTATTTAGTCTTCTCTAAAGATGAAATGCTATTCCTGAAAGATAGGAATTTATCTTCGTGGATATAGATATTGACAAAGAGAAGCAACTGTCAAAACAGTCTTTGGGCTTATTAAATCTAAGTGCAAAAACAAATCTGAATCAATTCCAGCAAAAATATGTAGTTTTGTGAATCCTGCTTGTGTTACTCCATTCTTGTGTTTATTTGCTTTTCTGAATAGATAGTAGACGTTCTTTGGTGTATCACTAGGCCCTGGGTAACATAATGATATCCTTGAATGCGTTTGGAAATGAGTAATGATTGTAGGGACGTGGTGGCTCAGTGGTTAAGACGCTGAGATTGTCGCTCAGAAAGGTCAGCAGTTCGGTGGTTTGAATCCCTAGTGTTGTGTAACAGAGTGAGCTCCCATTACTTGTCCCAGCTTCTGCTAACCTAGCAGTTCGAAAGCACGTAAAAAATGCAAGTAGAAAAATAGGAACCACCTTTGGTGGGAAGGTAACAGCATTCCGGCCACATGACCACAGGGAAAGCG